ATATATTTGCCATCTTGTGCTTGAAGTTCTGTGACTTTGTGATGTAGTGTTCTGACTTTATGTGTTCCTCTTACTGGGGGTGTTTCTTTCACCATAACTTCAGAGGATCCTGTGAATGACTGGCATGAGAACTGTTCAGGTTATTCAGACATGTTCAGGTTATTCAGTGAAGCAGAATGCTGTCCATAAAACAAAACATACACAACTCTAGCCGAAACCGGTTTGGCTCAGTGGATAGAGGATCGGTCTGCGGACTGAAAGGTCCCAGGTTTGATTCCGGTCAAGGGCATGTACGTTGGTTGCATTGGTTGCGGGCACATTCCCAGTAGGGGGTGTGCAGGAGGCAACTGATCGATGTTTCTCTCTCATCGATGTTTCTAACTCTTTATCCCTCTTCCTTCCTCTATGTAAAAAATCAATAAAATATGTTTTTTATTTTTTTATTTTTATTTTTTATATATTTTTTATTGATATTTTACAGACAGGAAGGGAGAAAGATTGAGAGCTAGAAACGTCGATGAGAGAGAAACATCGACCAGCTGCCTCTTGCACACCCCCTACTGGGGATGTGCCTGCAACCAAGGTACATGCTCTTGACCAGAATCGAACCCGGGACCCTTCAGTCCGCAGACGAATGCTCTACCACTGAGCCAAACCGGTTTCAGCCAATAAAATATATGTTAAAAAAATACACAACTCCAATTGGCCAGTGGGAAATGACTAGAAATAAAGGCTTTCAAAAGTTGCCATTTTTAGCTATATTTGCAAATACTATGAGATTTAAGCAGACTAGAAAACAGCAGTTGACTAAATTTTGTATTCTTGTCCTCAAATTTTTTTTTTTTAATTCTTTGTGGCTTGATGCAGTGATGTTTTCATTCCTTCTATATTTGTAAATGAAACAGTTTTTTTTTTTTTTTTAAATGTTTCTAAACATAAATTCTACTGGGTTTGAAGTCAAGTGGTTGAATCACTTTTGTCTTTTAAGCGCATTCTTGATTAAAGTTTCATTGGCTTTCAATCAATGGGCCAGTTTGATTTTGTAATTAGTACACAGTATCTACTGTTTTGGTGTTGTTTTGAGGACCAAGTCTCACAGTGGATTTCTTGAACAGTATCCCAGTAGATTTGACGATATGTGTTGGTTTGAGGTCTAATTTTTCGAATACATTTAAGATTTCTCTCTAATGTTGAAAAACTATACAAATTTGTATGAAACAAATTTAGAAAAATGAAAATTGCAGATTAAATAGTAATTTAAATTAATCTATACTAATAAAATGGTAATATGCAAATTGGTCAGGACACCCTCACAGTAACAACCAAACAGCAGCCTGCATGGGGTGACAAGGCTGGGAGGGGGGTTAGTGAGGGATGTCCAAACTACTGAACAGCAGGCTGCGTGGGGGCAACCAGGCCGGTGGGGGGACATGAAGGGTGACCAGGCCAGCAAGGGTGGGGGGCAGTTAAGGGCCACCAGGCCAGCAGGGGTACAGTAAGAGGCAACCAGGCTGGTAGTGGTGGGGTGTAGTTGGGGGTGACCAGGCCAGCAGGGGAGGCAGTTGGGATAATTAGGCTGGAGGACGGGCGGGGGGCGGTGAGGGGCAACTAGGCCAGCAGGGGAGGCAGTTAGGGCAACCAGACTGGCAGGGGGGGTAGTAAGGGGTGACCAGACCAGCAGGCAGGTGAGCTATTAGAAGTCAGTGGTTCAGAATTGTGAGCCAAACATCCCCAAGGGGTCCCAGGTTGGAGAGGGTGCAGACGGGGCTGAGGGGGACCCACCCATGCACAAATTTTGTGCACTGGGCCTCTAGTTCTATTATATTATGATAGAGGAGGATAAACTTTTGGTGCCATAATTTCTCTCTTCATGGTGGTGTTGGACTTAAATAACGTGAAATGTATTTCTGTACCATAATTTAAGCTTCAATAAAAGTTTGTATAATTGATTAGAATAAAGAAAGAAAATTTGCTCAGAGGAGCTTGCCTAGAGTTTGGTTAAGGAGAGAATCTGTTAGTATGTATGACTATCCCAATCTCTAAATATTCCTTTGACCTAAATTAAAAAAAAAAAAAAAGTTTCTGGCCTTTTAAAAAAAAGTCTAACTGTGCTGTTGCTAAAGAATATGGTCTGGCCGAAACCGGTTTGGCTCAGTGGATAGAGCATCGGCCTGAGGACTGAAGGGTCCCGGGTTCGATTCTGGTCAAGGGCATGTACCTTGGTTGCGGGCACATCCCCAGTAGGGGGTGTGCAAGAGGCAAATGATTGATGATTCTCTCTCATCAATGTTTCTGACTCTCTATCCCTCTCTCTTCCTCTCTGTGAAAAATCAATAAAATATATATTAAAAAAAAAAAAAAAGAATATGGTCTGTATGATACCACTTCTTTGAAATGTATTGAGACCACTTTATAGGCTAGCATGAGGTAATTTCCCTCCCACCCCCTCACAAGCAAAACTTTATTTAAAAAGTCACAAAGAAGCCCAGCTGGTATGGCTCACTGGTTGAGCATTGACCCATGCATGGTTCGATTCCTGTCAGGGCACAAGTGGGCTGGACCCCCAGTAGGGGGCATGCAGGAGGCAAATGAACAATGATTCTCTCCCTCTCCCTTTCTCTCTGAAATCAATTAAAATATATATATATTTTAAAAGTCACAGAGGTAGAAGTGAGCCAGCTGGGTTGCATGTGCTTAGGAAACAAGTTACAGAGGCCAAAGAAAAAGAAAAAACTTAGGAGAAAGAAAGCTTTTATGGAAGAAAGGGGGAAGAAAGGTGCAAGCATGCTAGAGAGAGAGTGCCGCATGAGGTCATTTTTAAATTATCTTCTTTATATCTAACAATACATTTTGTCTTAACTTTTAAAAAAAATATTTTATTGATTTTTTACAGAGAGGAAGGAAGAGGGACAGAGAGCTAGAAACATCGATGAGAGAATCATTGACCAGCTGCCTCCTGCACATCCCCCACCGGGGATATGCTCGCAACCAATGTACATGCCCTTGACTGGAATCAAACCCGGGACCCTTTGGTCATCAGGCCGATGCTCTAACCACTGAGCAAAACTGGTTTCGGCTTGTCTTAACTTTTTAAAATCTAAATATTACTATAACTTTTCTGTGGTTAATATCAGAAATATATCCAACTTTCTACTTTCAAGGTTTGTATATCCTTATGTTTTAGCACATAGCCAGATGGTTAAGAAATCTAGTTGGACAATATTTTTCTTTTATTTGGAAAGTTCAGTCCATGTGTATATGTAGTGATTACTGATAGACTTTGATTTATTGCTAACACTTTATTATGTATTTTTTATTTGTCTGAATTGTTTTGTTTCTGAGTTGTTGGTTTTTTTTATTTATTTGTTAATTTGTTTCCTTCTCCCCTTTCCCTACTTTCTGCCTACGTGAGTCTTATCAAGAACCATTTCTCTACCAAAACAACTCATTATAGTTATTATGTAATTATATAGTTATATAATTTCGATTGTAAGAATGCCCTTGTAATCTTGGAAAAATTGGTTCAAGGTATTTGCCATAGTGCAGTGACAGATTTTTTAAATGTAGTTTATTTGGTATTATCTGGTTACCTAAACTTGATTAAATGAATTGTGAAGAGTTTCATATTTTTCAATATTTTGAAATAGATCAGACAGTTCTCAAAGAGAAATAGAGATGAGAAAACATATTTTATTCAGTACTATTGCCAATAGGGGAGAGAAGCTTCAATAAAATCAAACTCAACTCCCAAAACAACAAAGACAGATGGAGTTTTATAGATTAAAAGGGTCAGTGGATGGAAAGCTACCAAAAGTGCCAACTTTGGGGGGATTTTTGCCAAATAAATGCAGGCCAAGGACTTAGACATCAAGACTAGGGGATTAGGAATTAGATCAGATATTAAGAGTGGGGATTCTCTCGAGGCTCATTTATTTTTTTTTTGGTGTGTGTGTTTTTATTTATTTATTTATTTATTTATTTATTTAAAAATAATTTTTTATTGTTCATATTATTACAAATGTTCCTTCCCCCCCCTCCATTGCTCTCCTCCACCAGGTTCCCACCCCACCCTCTGCCCTTTCCCCACTCCCCATTGTCCTCATCCATAGGTGCACAGTTTATGTTCAGTTCGAGGCTTATTTAGCAGGATTCTTGCTAAAACGGAGCCCCACAGGCCAAGGACAGAACCCAGAAACCTGGGCTAGTAGAAAAGAGGGCTCTGAGGAACCTGTCTAAAGTTTGGTCAAGGGCAGAGTCTTTGTCAGAGCAACAGAAACAGGCAGAAATTATTTTTTAGAAAACCAAGTATTATACTTTATCATACTGGTCTCCCCCCAAAGTCATGTCTTCTCCAAGTTCCAGCAGCAGAATTAGCTGAAACTAACTCTGGCCACATATTTCATTGAAGATTTTGTCTGCCTTCTATACAGTGATGATTTTGAAGCCCTAAGAGCAGGCTAGGGGAGTGGGCACAGTCACCACCATTCACGGAGTGCCCACTATCACTCCGGACCTTACCACCTCTTCTCATTCTTCTGACAGCTCCGCAAGAGGCTCTTCTGGGCTCCCTTTCCTGCAGAGGACGAAAGTGAGGCTTAGCCGAGGCTGTCTCCTTCTCCCTCCCCAAGGATCAGGAACCTCAGACTCTAACGGGGGGGGGGGGGGGGGGGAGGGGGAGCTGCTTTAGGGTAGTCAGGATAAGATCTCGGTACCGACCTCTCCAGGCGAGGCGAGCCGCAACCCCACGGTGGGAACCCACGCTGTCCATCAGTCCCTCAGTCCGCTGGCACCGCCCCTTCCCTTCCGCCCCCACCCTCAGGCTCCGCGCACTCCACGCCGCGCCGCTGCCCAGCTGCCTTGTGGGAAATGTAGTCCGGCGCCCCGGGGAGGCGCCGGGCGGGACGGCGCTCGGCTTAGGCAGCTCCGGGGTGAGGGTGAGTGCGGGCGGCGGCTGGCCGCGCTGCGTCTGGCCGGGTGGCGGGCGCCGGGCGGCGGCCCGGATGGGACGAGCCCTGGACGCCGGGCGAAGGGAGGTCGGCGCGGACGGGCCCCTGCGCAGCGCCGGGCCGCTGGTTCCAGGTGCGCCCCATCGCGCCCCGGGAGCCGGGCCGGGGGTGGGGGGCTCCCGCCGAGGTCCCCGCACGCGGTCCTTCCCCTCGTGTGTCAGGAGCGGCCGCGGTCCGAGGGCCAGTGCGGGTCCCCGGCTGCGCCCTCCTGCCGCGGGCTCTCCCCGGGACCCGCCGGCTCCAGCCTTTGCCCTTTGTGTAAAGCCTCTCCGGGACCCAGTTCTTCCTAAGAACCGGCGGTCAGCCCTGTGCAGGTTCTTTACCTCCGAGAATCCCCTTCTCTTTCTTTTTTATGTAAGCATTAAAAAAAAAAAAATCTTACAAAGAAAAAAAAAATGTTCACATCCAGAAAACTCCGAGGAGCAAAAGGGAAAAATTATTTGCAAACTGTCAAAATCTGCATGTCGACGTATATATGTGTTTGGACATCGAAACTCTTTGTTCTTAAAGCTATGGCAATTAATATCCTTTTCTCCATGAGTTGTGAAATACATGTGGTATGGGATTGAAAGTGTACAGATCTTAAGCTCCATGGTTTATGTATTTGTTGTCCATGTATGTACCCCTCCATCAACGTGGAGAATACATTTTAAAAGAAGTTAATATTGAAAGCATTACTTATAGCAGTTTTTAAAAATAGCTAAGCTGTCATTTTAATGTGTGTGAGGAAAAGCATGTCTGTGCCATACTGAATTCTTTCTTTAGGCTTTTCTGGTATTAGGTTTTGTTTTGTTTCAGGATTATAAACAACACGGGTCACCCCGTTATATATATCTTTGCATTCTTGTCTCATTCTATAAATCCCTTAAAGTGAAATGTCTGGGGCTTTATAATATATTCTGTGACCCAGTGCACAAAATTCATGCACATTAAAAGGGGATTTACTAGAGGAAATAATTTAATATTGCTATTGTCCCTTTCTCTATAATAGAAGTGTCAGAGATGAAAGAAAATTAGTAAAATGTATATGAAAACCTTCCTCCTGTCAAGAGTTTGGGACGCACCATGGGACCCAGAGTCAAGTCCCCTCCCACCCACAAGCGCCTCAAAATCCCGTGAGATTCAGACCTGGCCAGTCCTACCCTTGTCAAGCCCTGCCAGGCAGAGGATGTAGCCTCAGGCCCCCTGGCCCGGTGCCAGGATGGGGGGCATGGCCTGAAGTTCCCCAGCCCAAACTGGGGTGTGCCTTGAGGTCCCCTGTCAATCCCTGCTGAGTGGGCGTTGCAGCCTGAGGTCCTCTGTCAAGCCCTGTGGGGATGGGGGAGGGCGTAGCCTAAGGTCCTTGCTGATTGCTCTTTTTTTTTTTTAATATAATATATTTTATTGATTTTTTTTTTTGCTCCCCTCCCTCTTTCCCATACATACCCTCCCTCCCCAGAGTTTTATGTCCATTGGTTGTACTTATATGCATGTATACAAGTCCTTCGGTTGATCTATTATCTCCCCCAGATCTTCCTCCCCTCCCCACTGTAATTTGACAGTCTGCCTGTTGCTTTACTGTCTCTATATCTGTCTCTTGGTTCATCAGTTTATAATGTTCTTTATTATCCATAAATGAGTGAGGTCATGTGGTGTTTCTCTTTCATTGACTGGCTTATTTCACTCAGCATGATGTTCTCCAATTCCATCCAGGTTGCTGCAAATGATGAGAATTCCTTCTTTTTTATGGCGGCATAGTATTCCATTGTGTAGATGTACCATAGTTTTTGGATCCAATCATCAGCTGACAGGCACCTAGGCTGTTTTCAGATTCTGGCTATTGTAGATTGTGCTGCTATGAACATAGGGGTGCATATATCCTTTCTGATTGGTGTTTCTAGTTTCTTGGGATATATTCCTAGAAGTGGGATTACTGGGTCAAATGGGAGTTCCATTTTCAGTTTTTTGAGGAAACTCCACACTGTTTTCCACAGTGGTTGCACCAGCCTGCATTCCCACCAGCAGTGCACGAGGGTTCCTTTTTCTCTGCAATCTCGCCAACACTTGTCGTTTGTTGATTTGTTGATGTTGGCCATTCTGACAGGTGTGAGATGGTACTGCATTGTTGTTTTGATTTGCACCTCTCGGACAATTAGTGACTTTGAGCATGTTTTCATGTGCCTTTTGGCCTTCCTTCTGTCTTCTTTTGTAAATATTCTATTTAGGTCCATTGCCTATTTTTTAATTGGATCATTCATCTTCCTTTTATTTAGTTGTATCAGCTGTCTGTAGATGTTGGAGATTAAACCTTTATCAGTGGTGTTATTTGCAAATATGTTCTCCCACACCGTGGGCTTTCTTGTTGTTTTGTTGATGGTTTCTTTTGCTGTGAAAAAACTTTTTATTTTGATGTAGTCCCATTTGTTTATTTTCTCTTTAGCTTCCATTGCCCTAGGGGCAGTATCAGTGAAGAAGTTCTTTTGGCATACATCTGAGATTTTGCTGCCTGTGGATGCTTCTAGTATTTTTATGGTTTCCCGTCTGATGTTTAAGTCCTGTATCCATTTTGAGTTTATTTTTGTGTATGGTGTAAGTTGGTGATCTAGTTTCAATCTTTTGCATGTGTCTGCCCAATTTTCCCAACACCATTTATTGAAGAAACTGTCTTGACTCCATTGTATATTCGTGCCTCCTTTGTCAAATATTAATTGAGCAGAGTGATTTGGGTTGATATCTGGGTTCTCGATTCTATTCCATTGATCTATATGTCTGTTCTTGTGCCAGTACCAGGCTGTTTTGAGAACAGTGGCTTTGTAATACAGTTTGAAGTCTGTTATTGAGATCCCTCCTACTTTACCCTTCTTTCTTAGGATTGCTGTGGCTATTCGGGGTCTTTTATTGTTCCAAATGAACTTTTGGAGAGTTCTTTCTAGGTCAGTGAAATATGCTGTTGGTATTTTAATCTTTCTTTCTTTTTAAAAAAATATATTTTATTGTTGTTTTACAGAGAGGAAGAGAGAGGGATAGAGAGTCAGAAAGATCGATGAGAGAGAATCATTGATCAGCTGCCTCTTGCACACCCCCTACTGGGGATGTGCCCACAACCAAGGTACATGCCCTTGACCGGAATTGAACCCAGGACCTCTCAGTCTGCAGGCCAACGCTCTATCCACTGAACCATACCGGTTTCGGCTGAATTTCACTTTTTTATCTTGAATTCTTATATATAATTTTTTTCCTGAACTGTTTGTGTTAGGATTTTTTGTTCCTTTGACTCTTTCTCCCTATGTATTCTAATAATAGAGGAATATGCAAATTGTCCAGGACACTGTCACAGCAGCAACTGAACAGCAGTCTGCATGGGGCAACCAGGCCAGCAGGGGCGTTAGTGAGGGATGACCAAACGACTGAACAGGGTGTGTGGGGCGACCAGACCGGCAGGGAGGCAGTTGGAAATGACCAGGCCGGCAGGGGGGCAGTGAGGGGCAACCAGGCCGGCAGGGGGGCAGTGAGGGGCAACTAGGCTGGCAGGGGGTGGCAGTGATCGGGCCTATCGGTACCAGTGACTGGGGGAAGGGGCCATGGGTGATTGGCCAGGCTGGCAGGGGGGCAGTTGGGAGTGACAAGGCCAGCAGGTGGGGGCAATTAGGGGTGACCAGGCCGGCAGGTGGGTGGCAGTTAGGGGTGATCAGGTTGGCAGGCAAAGGTGGTTAGGTAATCAGGCAGGCAGGCAGGTGAGGAGTTAGGAGCCAGCGGTCCCAGGTTGTGAGAGACATGTCTGATTGCTGGTTTAGGCCCAATCCCGAGGGGTCCCAGATTGGAGAGGGTGCAGGCTGGGCTGAGGGGACCCTACAAAGTTCACAATTTCATGCACTGGGCCTCTAGTTACATTATAACATCCAGGAGGACAGAGAGATTTTCCGTTTTGTTTGCAACTGTATTCACTCCTCTCCCCTTTCACATGTACATAGACACAGGAATAGTGCCTGGTCAACAATATATCTGGTGAATGAGTGATTCTGACATTCAGTAACATTATGTTCTACTAGGGGCCCAGTGCATGAATTTGTGAACCTTGAAAGGAACTGTGGGTTGTGAGGCTGCGGTGGGTCCTGGGGCCAGTCTCGGACCATCCCCCGCACCGCTGCCTGGCCCCTGCCATGGCCCCTGGTCCCCTGTCTGCTGGCAGCCCTGCTCCTGCTGCTGCCGCTCCCATGCCCTGATGGCGACAACCTTGCTTGTACTTGTTGATGGCATAGAGCAGTTGGGGTTGGCTCCAGCAGTGGGTGCGAGTGGTGGCTACTGCCCCGATTGCCCCTCAGGATATCTTCACCTCCCCCTGCTCCTGAGGGCTGATCAGGGCCAGCAGCTGCCTCTCGCACCCACTGCCGGCACCAGCTCCACTAGCATCTGCAGCTGGCTCCAGAGCCACTGCTTGCACCCATTGCCAGCACCCAGCATCAGTCCTAATCACTCAGCACTGTCAGCAGGTGCCAGCGGAGGCTGCTGGCCCTGATCACCCCCCGAGAGCTTCTCCACTCCCCCTGCTTCTGAGGGGCAATTGGACAGTAGCCACCACTCGCACCCGCTGACAGTGCTGAGTGATCAAGGCCAGCGCTGGGCTCCGGCTCTGGCACCGGCAGCAGGTGTGAGTGCCTGGCGGGACTGTGGCACGCGGGAGTAAAGAATTTTCAGTAACCGCCAGCAGCTTGCCCTGATGACAGTGACCAGAGCCCTGCCTTGGTCTGATGCCCCCCTCACCTGCTCCACCATCCCACAGCAGCCTATGCTTGCCATTTTCCGTGCTTTGCTGCCAATGTCAGCCATGTTCAGTGTATGCCCCCTGGTGGTCAGTGCACATCAAAGCAACCATTCTGCCGTTCGGTCTATTTGCATATTAGGGTTTTATATATATAAACTAGAGGCCCAGTGCATGAATTTGTGCACAGGCGGGGTCGGCCAGACCAGGCAGGACCTGTTGGGAGGAGGAGATGGTGGGAGGTTGGCCAGCCGGCCTGCCCTGATTGGGCCTATCAGTACCGGTGACTGGGGGAAGGGGCCATGGGTGATTGGCCAGCAGGCCCTGACCCTGATTGGGATGGGGGTGCTGATGGGGGGACCAGCAGTCTGGGGGAGAGGCCATGGGGTGGTTGGCCTGCTGGCCCTGCCGCTGATCTGGGTGGGAGGGCCAATATGGGGTGGGGCTGGGCAGGGCAAGGGGCTGCAGGCGGTTGGCTGGCCAGCTCTGCCCCCTATTGGGGTGGGAGGGCAATCAGGGGGAGGGTTGGCCAGGGGGAGGGGCTGCGGGCCAATCAGGGTGGTGGGGGCCCATTGGGGGCATGGCTAGCCAAGGGGAGGGGCTGTAGGATATTGGCTGGCCAGCCGAGCCCCTATTGGGGTGGGGTGGGGGTGCAATCAGGGGTGGGCTGGCTGGGGGAAGGGGCTATGAGCCTATTGTGGGGTGGGCTGATGGGGGCAGGACTGGTGGTGGGTGGAGGGGGACGAGAAGGGGTGTTTGGCTGGCAGCCTGCTCTTGATCGGGGTGGGAGGGTCCGTTCAGAGCAGGCTGACAGGGGAAGAGCTGCGAGGTTTGCCAGATCTGGCTGGTTCACTGGCCACAGTGGTTGTCAAAACCACTGGTCGTTAGGGTCGTTACGGCATTATGGTCGCTGGCTTTTTATCTACCCTGTTTCCCCGAAAATAAGACAGTGTCTAATTTTTGCTCCCAAAGATGCGCTAGGTCTTATTTTCAGGGGATGTCTTATTTTTCCATGAAGAAGAATACGGTACACATTTATTGTTAAATGAAAATAAAGGAAATTTATTACCTGTATACGGTGCGGTAGTACGGTAGTTGTCAATACAAACCAGACAAACTGTGAATCCTACAGTATCAAGAATTTACTCATTTATTCAATGACAATCATGTCATCATCTTCTGGAACATCACCATAACAATTCAATTCCTAAATTTCCTTGTGAATTTCTTGTGATTCCGTTTCTTTCAGAATCAGTGGACCAAATCTCTCATGTTTAGCCTAGGGAGGCCTTATTTTCGGGGGGATGCCTTATGTTTCACTCAGAAGGAAACCTCTGTAAGTAGGTCTTATTTTCGGAGGATGTCTTATTTTCGGGGAAACACAGTATATAGATTATCATAGCTTCATAGTGTCTGGTGGGCAAGGTTTTGCTCATCACCATTCTCTTTCAGAAATTTCCTGGCTGTTGCTATACAACACAGTTAACTTAAAAAAAAAATCTTTTTCATAATTAGCTTTAAAATATTGTTAGTTTGGTATAATTTGATTGGGAATGTGTTAACTTTATAAATTGATTTAAAAGAAGTGACAAATTTTGTAACATCCTATACAGGAATATGGTATGTCTCTCACTGTTCATCTTCATATATAAGTCAAATAAGCTTAGCAAAATAAACAATAATAATCATAGTTTCATGTAAATCATGCATACACGTTGTATTTGCTTTATCTATAGGTATTTTATTTCTTGTTGTTGTGGGAGTCTCCTTTCTCATGGCTTCTTTTCCTGCCATCAGCTCTGCCTCCTCTCCCCACCCATCTCCTAGGAAGGACCCCACAGAAGGAAGGAGAAGGCAGTGGATGCTGGTCCTCTACCATTGGAAGCTCAGGTGAGGCTTTTCAACCTCAAACCTCTCCTTTACCCCTTATTCCTATACTGTACATGGGTGTCACTGCAGAGGACAGGGATACCGAGATCTCTGAATGTTGGGTATTTTGCAGAAAGCTATCTTCAGTTTCCCTCAGCTCTGTTCTCAGCTGTCCCTTCCTCATTCAGCCTGCCTATTGAGCCCTTGGTGCTATTCAAGAGTCAGTGCTTTCAGGGCTACGGACTCTCAGGGAACATAAAAAGTTACATCTCTTCAAGATACAATCACTGTGATTGTACATGAATCTGATAATAAGAATGAGTATTGCTGAACCGGTTTGGCTCAGTGGATAGAGTGTCGGCCTGTGGACTGAAGGGCCCCAGGTTCGATTCCCCTCAAGGACATGTACCTTAGTTGTGGGCACATCCCCAGTGGAGGGTGTGCAAGAGGCAGCTGATCGGTGATTCTCTCTCATTGATGTTTCTAACTCTTTATCCCTCTCCCTTTCTCTCTGTAAAAAATCAATAAAATATATTACAAAAAAGAAAAAAAATGAGTATGGACAATCTAGGTGCCCAGATTGTCAGTGTTCTAAGACCTGGAGAAGGAGATCAGTGTGGCAGCCGGAGAAGGAGAGTTGGATCGGGATAATGGGAGAGGGTTTGCTGTAATGGAGACAGAATGTCCCAAGTTTAAGTCCTGACTTGACCATTTAATAGCTGTGTTGTCTTGGGTAGGTGACTTGATTTCCCTGAAGCATCAGCTCTTCGTGGTCATGATAGAAATAATAGCATTAAGCAAGTGTTTGCCACACACTTGACTTTGGTAGCAGTTTCACACAGCTTATTCCATTGAATAATACCTCTTTCATAGGGTTGTTGAAAGTTCAGATGAAATAATGTAAAAAAGAAGTGCCCAACATGGTTCCTGAGATGTTGAAGGCACTAGGTAAGTGTAGGCACGCTCTGCACCATTCCAGCCCAGGGCTAGGTATTTACTAGTAGAGTTTAGATGTAGAACAGAAGGTAGTATTGACTGGTAGTGAGGAGTCACAAAGTTTGGGATTAAATGCCATGAGTGAGGAGTTTGTGTGTTGGTGAGGGGGTAGGCATGGGGGTGGAGGAGGAGTCACAGAAGTTTTGATAAGGGAGTTGGCATAAGAATTTTTCTAGGGCCAAAACCGGTTTGGCTCAGTGATAGAGCATGGGACTGTGGACTGAAAGGTCCCAGGTTCGATTCCGGTCAAGGGCATGTACCTTAGTTGCAGGCATATCCCTGGTAGGGGGTGTGCAGGAGGCAGCTGGTCGATGGTTCTCTCTCATCGATGTTTCTAGCTCTCTATTCCTCTCCCTTCCTCTCTGTAAAAAATCAATAAAATATATTTAAAAAAAAAGAATTTTTCTAGGAAGAAGCAGTGTCCATCAGCTAGAGGAAATTATGGGTATAATTTATATAAAATTAGAGCCCCAGTGCACAAATTTGTGCAGGGGTGGGGTCCCTTGGCCTGGCCAGTGATTGGGGCCATTGGGGCCATCTTGCCCAGTCTTAGGGGGAGGGACTGTGGGAGGTTGTCCAGCCAGGGGGAGAGACTGTAGGAGGTTGGCTGTGGGAGCACTTACCACCAGGGGGCAGCTCCTGCGTTAAGTGTCTGCCCCCTGGCAGTCAGTCTGAGTCATAGTGACCAATCAACTGGTCATTTGGTCAACTGGTTGTAATGGTCGCTTAGGCTTTTATATATATAGATAACCTATTCAGGTATAATTGCATTATCATTCATCCATTCATTAAACAGATATTTAACACCTGCCTGTCATATGCTAAGCCATGTTTCGAATGCTGGAAAGATAACATTGAATGAGCCAGGCAAAGTTCCTCTCTTCTAGATCTTATCTTCTGGAAGGGGGGGGGGGCAGCAATGAAGAGACATTACTGAAGTCATTGCTAAGGTGTGCTGGCCACACAGCAGGTTGGTATAGTAACATGGAAGGATGGAGACTGGTTAGCCAGACATAGCCGGAGTGGCTCCACAGTTTCGGTGGTAGTGCCAGAGTCATTCTATTTATTTAGAATTTATTTTGTTATTTCACAAAACAAATCCCCCTAATTTTTCTTTTCAAAACTTTGGTTACTGTATTGTTCTAATACATTTATCCTTATAGTTGAATTTTAATAACTGTCAAGGTTTATTAACTTTATCAAGTTCTAAAGGCAACAATTAAAAAGAAAAATCTGCAATTTTGATTTGCATTTCATTAAATCTATATTAATTTGAGGAAGACTACCATATTTACAATGTTTATTTTTCCTATTGAGTAAAAAATTATCCTTCATATTATTCAGACCTTTCATTATGACTTCTGTTGATTTGATCATGAGGATCTTGAATATTCCTATTAAGTGTATTTTGCCATGTTTCATTTTTTTGTTGCTATTGTGATTTAACCATGAATGGGATTTTGTAGAAAGAAAAATGATTGCTAAGAATTCTTTTTTTAAAAAATATATTTTATTGATTTTTTTTACAGAGAGGAAGGGAGAGAGATAGAGCGCTAGAAACGTCGATGAGGGAGAAACATCGACCAGTTGCCTCTTGCACACCCCTTACCGGGGATGTGCCCGCAACCAACGTACATGCCTTTGACCGGAATCGAACCCGGGACCTTTCAGTCCGCAGACCGACGCTCTATCCACTGAGCCAAACCGGCTTCGGCAAGAATTCTATCTGAAGACATTTTGCTGTTGTGGTGCCTCACATGTCACCACGATCGTATCTTCTCTATAAATCACACTTGCATCATTTAACGTATCCCTATTTTTTTCACTTGCACTCTACCTTTTCAAAGAATAACAATATCAGAAGGCCTGTGTTTTTAGGTTTCATGAACGACATAAGTCCATGAAGCTGCTTTTTTCCAACACCAGGAGCATCCTGTGCCTCATGCTGGGTGAAAGGGCCCAGACTAAGTGGACAAGGAGAAAAAGGAAACAAAAACACATCTTCATGGATTAACAAGAAATAATTTTATGAACAATAAAGGATTAACAATATATATATTTTGTGAACAATACTGTTTTACTTTAAGCTTTTAAAATGCCTTTCTGTGCTTAACTAGATCAGTGCTTCCTGAGCCTATGGCCAGCACAGGAATCCACAGGACATTTCATGATAAGAGACAAAGCTTTGGGGCACGCTGAGGGGTCTGCAATAAGGGGATGAGAGACTAGGGAGGTGGGGAAGACCATGTAGTTCATTTGAGTCTGAATTTGGGTTTTCAATTTTTCCCAATATATTCAGCTAGGAAGTCAATTTATTGAAAAAAGTGGATTAATTTTTGGAAAGAGAATGCCATATCTTCCCTCACAAACTAGGAATTCCTATTTTGTTTTCACATATATTCTAACTTATGTGATATTTCTGTGTTCTCCCTGCTTACTTTTATTTGCAATTGCCTGCCAGCTCTTTTTTTTTTTTAAATATATTTTTATTGATTTTTTACAGAGAGGAAGAGAGAGGGATAGAGAGTTAGAAGCATCGATGAGAGAGAATCGTCGATCAGCTGCCTCTTGCACACCCCCTACTGGGGTTGTGCCCGCAACCAAGATACATGCCCTTGACCGGAATCGAACCCGGGACCTTTCAGTCCGCAGGTCGACGCTCTATCCACTGAGCCAAACCGGTTTCGGCACCTGCCAGCTCTTGTCTCCCCTCCTCCCTGCTTTTATTTTAATTTCTTGTTTGTTTTTTAGATCTATCTCTTATATGTATCATCTAATTGGATTGTCAACCAATTTTAGAGTTTTTTACTTTTAATAGAGAAAGTCAATCCATTTATGTATCAGGTTTCTTTCTGGTTATTTAATGTTTATGATTTTTATGCTTTCTGGTTTCCTTTTGTTAATGATAGGAATTAACAAATTTAATTAACAAAATTAATTTTGTTAACTATAATAAAGAATACAGTGTTTATTTGAGCAAAGGAGGGATTGCAACCCAGGGCACAGATTCAGGCAGCAACGCAAACTGTGCTTCAAAGGGAGCAAGGGAAGGCAGGGTTTGTAAAGGGCAGAGCCCGCAGAGTCGCTCTCAGTAAAGCTTTGAGCAGATGAAGGGTGTTGGCAAGGCCAGTGGCGTTGTCAGGCCCCTCTGGTCAATGGCTGGGTTCCTTTCAGGGTGAAGCATGCATCCAGGATGTTTGTTTACCTTTCAGCTGTGTGCAGCAACAGGTCAGCAGCTTAACAATAGTTCCAAGATTTTCCATGAACCGTGTCTAGGCCTCCAAAACCATTTTAGGTGACAATCTTAGCCATGCTTATTCCATTTTATTTTCTTCATGTCACCTTCTTCTCCTTTCTTTACATTTGTTGAACTGATTTGACTTTTCTTGGCTCCTTCTTCCCTTCCATAAAGTGGAAATAGAATGTATTTCTATCCTACTAGCTACCTTTAGCCGATAATGTTTGTGATTTTTAACATTTTTTTGTTATTTTGCTATATTGTTTAAATAAATATTAGGAAAAAATAATGAGATAGAAAGAAAGATAATGAACTTTGTGCCTCAGTACTAGCACCACTTCTGAAGTTCATAACAAGTAGAATGGGAAATGCACAAATTTCTTGGAATTGGTTTCATTCTATATCTGGTCTCTTTAGTCCTTTCTCCCCACTAAATTTATCCCTTTTGTCCTTAAATGAAAACCTTTTCTATAAAAAAAAAACAACAACAAAAAACAACCTTTTCTATTACTTTATTTACATTACCTATTCCTTACTTTCTATACAGTCCTATTAATCTACTTTTCCTCAAAAAAGTTTAACTTCACCTGGTTGCTTCTGATTTCTTATTTTCCATTTATTATTTTGTCGACTGTAAGGTGACTCCTGCCTTCACCATTCTGCTGGAATTAACCTAATTTTCCAATTAGCAGCTCCTTTTTCAGTCATCATTCTGTTTGACCCACTCCAGCTTCTGAGAGTGCTGAGCACTCCCTTCTCCTTGAAACTCTCTTTCCCCAGCTGTCAA